TGGCCAAGAATAAAAATAAACACTCTTCGTTATATCGTCGAGCTTTCGGAAATGTTTATTTCCTTTTTCAAGACATCTACAATAGATTCATATTACAAACAAAATACATTACATTTTGTAAAAATACTTACTAACATGAGATTAGTTTGAAAAGAGGCTTCATCGCACACAATAAAAACATTTAAAACCTCAATGATGATTATTATAAACAAACAAAATTAAAATCGAAATGCATGTGGACAGACATAAAACAATTTCGGCCGTTACTGATGCTTGAATACAAATTCCAAAAAGAATTTGTATTTTTGGGAATACATTTTCGTTAGATTATGGCTGTTTATCCTTCCACTATCAATCAAAATATTCACAAAAAATTCAGTTTTTTCACCATTACATCACAATTGGTTTTTTTGATAGATTTTCTCGTCTAAAACTAAACTAAAAAAGGAATTCGTTATTTAGAGTGCAATTAATTTACTTTATAAATTAATCTGTTTAAATCAGTGGGTGAAAATTCATAAAATGAATATATCAAAGACGCAAAAAGAATATCATTTATTTCATATATGCTCGCAAACAATTATTCGATATTTTTAATTAAAATTTACCTCATAGATGACTTGGAAAAGAGTAAAATTATCATCCATCATATTATCGCATCGTCGTTCAAGTATGTAGGCTAAAAGTCAAAACAGTGGCAACATACATCAGAAAACAGGCCAATAACTTTTGAAGAAAACATAATTGTACCAAGGTATCTTGTTCTAAAATATAAATTGGGCAGTCAGTTTTAAAAAAGTGATATTTTGCATGTTATATGACAAACACTGTGAAAACTCTAAAAATTTTTAGTATCAAATATCATTGGGAAAGGCTAGTGACCTTTAGTATTTGGTAAAAAACTAACAAAACTGCATATGTAACACCTTCAAAAGCTTATCTTAGTCCGGTGAAATTAGTCATAAAAATAGTGATCAAATAACAAAAATTCTGACAGAGCTAAATTTTGGTGGAGATCTTAGGTATATCATTAGAAATAAAGTGTCAAAAGTCGCCATCGATCCCATGTGTGCTAAAAAAGTTATTCAGGGTCAAAGCTCAAAATTTGAGGTTTTTTGGATTTTTTTCGAAAACGGTAAGTTTTATCAAAAAAGTAGCCCAGGCAAATATAGATCTTAAAATTATCTACAAAAATGGCCCTTATATTTTTTTACACTTAATACAAGTAAAATGCCTATTTGTGTCTCTTATATGTATAAACTATACTATTCTGAGAATATACACTCAAAAGAAACTCAGTCCCTTAGTCAATCCCTTCTACCCGCATGGCCTTGAATAACATCTGGCTACTCTATTGTAAAAACTTTTGTAAAAAATACACGAAACAAGAAACAAGTACAACTATCTTGTCTTCCTCCAACATCGGCTTCTGCTAATCAACACTTGTATCGAGTATACTATCAAGTTCAAACATGGCTAGGCAATCAACTGAACCCAGAAGACGGGTTGGAAATTAATTCGATAATACTTTGGAACCGATTCAAACTTTACTCCCACCTGCTGCGGAAAAACTCCTAAACACTATTTTTTGCAGTTACAAAAAAGGTTGTAGTGCTAAATGTGGCTGTAGAAGTGTTCTCCAGCGTGTACTAATTGCCAAAGCCAGTCTTGCTCAAATGTCCAATTGAATATAACAGACGAAGATTCATGTGATTTCGATGAAGAGACAGCTGATTCATCTTCATTTGAACAATTTATGAACATCCAGTAAGAAGAAGAGGAAGAAGAAGACATGACTGTTGAAGTCGACTTTGAAGCGTATGAATCAGATTAAAATATCAAAAGAAATCAGAACTACAGTTAAAGTCAATAACCAATATCAATAATCATCATGCAGTTAAAAGAGTGTTGTGCCTGAAAATTCTGTCATAACAGTTAGTAGAGTAGGCCTACCGGGGAAACCACCTTAAAAAAAATGCGCCAAAGTACACTATCTCACAGGTGGTGTGGAAATGTGTGCATATTATGTAGAACGTGATTCCTTCAACTATTAGAATCGCGATATCTTAGGAATGGTGATTCTTAGAAAAAAAAATATAAGGACCATTTTTGTAGATAATTTTAAGGTCTATAATTTTTGTCTGGGCTACTTTTTTGATAAAACACCGTTTTCGAAAAAAAATTTTAAAAACTTCAAATTTTGACCTTTGACCCCGAATAACTTTTTTAGCACACATGGGATCGATGGGGACTTTTGACACTTTATTTATTTCTAATGGTGTAGGTACCCAAGATCTCCACCAAAATTTCGCTTTGTCGGAATTTTCGTTATTGGAAATGTTTATTTTGACCGGACTATCTGTATCAAATTCACATTGTTTTTTTATGAAAAGATTAGCTAAAAATTGATTTAAAAAAATAATCTCAAATGCAAAAGTGATAGGCCCATGTTCCATATGATTTTTTTTATTTATTAATGTGTAATACCTCTTTCTAAAACATCCCGTATGCATTTTGATGAATATGTTAAGAAATATAACGAGCGTTCAAATAAAAACGTGGTCAAGTTGGTTCTGAAAATTTGGACGTAGGGCGTAGCGTATAGCAAATGAACTTAAACGTCATCTGTCGAAGCGCTGTATCGCCGCTTTGTTATTGAAACTGACAGTTGCTATACAGCTCGTTGAGAAATGAGGTTAAGTTGGTCGCTATAAGCTACGCCCTACATTCAAAGTGTCAGAGCCAACTTCGACCACGTTTTTATTTGAACGCTCATTATTAAAAAACTATATAAAAAGAAAAACTTTTATAATGCCGAGAGATATAAAAAAATTAAAAAATCAGGCGTATACATATAATTTATTAATTTGTCCTCTATTATTATTAATAATTAATTTATGACACTATATATTTGTTGTTAATAAGAATTGATTTCTCTTTTTATATAATTTTTGGTACTGTTCTTTTCTTTCTTCTGATAAAATTGTATTATTGAAAAGAAAAAATTGTTAATATTTAAGTTGAATTGAATAAATAGGGGTATTGCGATATTCCACCAAAAAAGTTATATTATAGATATAAGATTCTATTGAAAAAAAACATAATTTTATTTAAATTTTTTTTAAATTTTAATTTAAAGGTATTATTTTTAAATCGTATCAAATGGAGTCAAATAATCTTCGATATCAGAAATTTGGTATAGAAGAATAGAACTGTTTGACTTCGTTTGATAAGATTTATTTTAACAATTTTTTTTAATTTGAATTGGCATAACATAAATATTCTCTAACTAAAAATGAAAAAAAAAACATTAATATACAATGTTAATGCCTTTTACAATATTAACAGACTTGAAACTCTATTATTATAGCCTTACTTAAAACAGGTGAACAGACTGCATGTGACCATGCTTTGTCACATTTTGATTAATACAATCCACAGAAATTGTGTTTTCAAAGATAATTTGTGTAGTCCAATCATATATATGTTTCATCATTTTTCAAAAAAAAAAGTGTCTTGAATGTAAGTGGATTATCTTATAAATTGCTTAAAACAAGTTGGAATAATTAAAAAAAAGTAAATAAAATTTTACCATATTTTTTGCATTTCACGTGTTTCAAAACAAATGTTTGTGGACTTTCGTTCATATAAACTTTTTTATTGTACCCAGATATAGAGTTATGTAGTTTGTTAAGGTGTGTTCAGTCGACAAATGTATCTTTATCTTTAAGCGTTTGCTTTATATTAAAAAAGTATGTAAAAATAGATAACCTTTCACCCTATGCTTTTTTATTTTTACAAGTGTTTGTTAAAATTTAATTTATCTTTTATTTGTTTAAAATAACCAGAAATGTGCATGGTCCTGATTATGATATTTATATTGTTCACTGGCTATTTTTAAATGCTCCAATTCCCTAAACGATTTTTAAATTTCTGCATAAATAATATTTTCAAGGCTGTGTATGTATGATAACTTTATCTTGTTAAATTAAAAAATAAAACAAAAACTTAAATGATAAAGATAAATTTGCTAACTAAACGGATCTTTACTAAGACATTAAGAAAAGAAGAATGGGCAATTTAAATTTAATTTTTAGATTTACAACAGTGATGAAACTTAAATACCACATGCGAAATCACACAGGTGAACGTCCATATGTATGTACAGTTTGTGGAAGAGGTTTTACAGTTAATACAATTTTGCTCAGACATATGCGAGTGCATTCAGGAGAAAGGCCTTATGTTTGTGTAACGTGTGGAAAAGCATTTTCACAGTCTAGCACATTGAATACACATATGAAAGTTCATGCACCATCTCTAAAATATAATTCTCAAGAGCAGCAACGTATGCCTAAATTTCACAATGATAATGATGAAAAGTATCCATCTCAGCAGCCACAACAGACAGCAGACCATTCGAATCCTCTTATGCAAAACGATAATCGAATGCTTCAAACCGAACCTATTCAAAGAATGATCCAGTCTGACAATTCTCGAATGCTATCTAGTGATGGGTCCCCAATATTAACAGATTCGTCACAGCATTTACTTTCCGAGAATAGAGGTAAGAGGTAACTAGATTATTAGTAAATGTTAGCGAGCCACCCCGTTTGTTAGTAAATCACAATACAAGGTTACTTACAAACGATAATCGTATTTTAACACAGGACAATAGGTTAATTACCAATGTAAATATGAATGAAAACAACAGACTATTAACGGATAATTCCAGGTTGTTACAAATGAAAATGCGCGACATTTAGCAGTTATCGAAAGTTCTAGATTGTTAGCGGATAAATATTTAGCAAACTATGATCCCTACCATCGAGGCCATTTGTAAACTTTTCAAATGTATAAATTTCATTAAATAGACTAAACGATTTAAAAATGTTTGTTTTTACAATAATATCACTTTTTTACTGATAATTAAAAGTGTATGTAAGTACTAATAAAATCATATACATAATAATTGGTGTTTTAATTTAAGATTAAGATGTTCTGAGGTCATTTTTAAAGAAAGAGATAATATACAAATAATGATATTTAAGGCTAACAGTTTAAATCAAAACTTTAAAAAAAATATTTTCCAGGTAGGTTTGTACTGTCAATTGTAACAGAATACATAGTTTTTAGTCAAATTTGATTGTCATTAACATCTCAATATACAATTTTATTAGACAAATTATCTTTTAATTGAATCCATTATTTTCTATATACCTTGTTTTATAGAAATATACACTTTACAATATTTTTTTCCAAATACATTCATGTATTTTTTAAAATAATTTTATTAAATAATCCTTGCTTATACTTACGTAATACAATGCTGTACCATAAAGTAATATATTAGGGGAATTATTAAATTTATATTTCTCTAAAATAAAGATATCAGAAATAAAAGAATTATATTAATACAATTTTTATTATTTCTCTTATTGCAACTAGATACATAGTTTAAATGTATATATCAGATACTACTAGAGACAAAATTAACAAATGTGTAAACACCCAAGAGAGACTAGTAAACAACTGAACACTCGGTATTTGGCTTTATTAGATGGAAACGTTACAAACTGTTATAGTCTACAGCTCGAGGAAGAATGAATTCTCTCTCCCCGTTTCTAATATATCTTACAATTAGTAGGTACTAACATAAACAAACGCATCGACCCCAAATCTGTCATCTTGACGGGATGGGCTGAATGGTTGGCCGGAGACGCACGTAGACCACCTGAGTGATGTATACCGGGTGTCCCAGGCAGTGATTACTTTACATTTGGCCATGCTACTGTTTTCCAAGTCCCTTTGGAGGCATCACCTAAACAGAATCAAACGTTAGGATACAAGAAGGTTCTAAACAGAAATCCTCAATCGACCGACATCGCTGATCTTTTATTTTCTCCAGTCGATTTCGAATTTTTGTTTCAATCGCATCTATACAGGATCCTGTTTATATTTCGTGGTCAGATTCCTCGTCAGAATCTGAATTGACATGATACTCTAGAGATTTTAATTTGTCAAGAGATACGATACTCTTGTACTNTATATTTCTCTAAAATAAAGATATCAGAAATAAAAGAATTATATTAATACAATTTTTATTATTTCTCTTATTGCAACTAAATACATAGTTTAAATGTATATATCAGATACTACTAGAGACAAAATTAACAAATGGAATCTATAACCACGAATATTATACAGCTGACCGAGCTGAAATTTCAAATCTTAGAGTACTAGATAAACTCGAAGTGCTATTTACGAAAAGTTCTCGGAATGTGAATATTATTCGCAAACACAATACTGTCTTGTAATCAGTCTATAAACTATAAACAAATTAAAAATTGTATGTTCTATCGTGTTGAATAAAATTTATGCCTCAAATCTTAATTATACATATTATACTCTGTTTGTGAATACCAACTACTCTTTGTGATCTTTTTGAATGCCCTATGAATTTACAATAGTAGAGCGTGCTAATGCGCTGAATTTTAAATGTGCAGTTGTTTAGAAACAAACAAAATCTGACATCTCTAGATCAATACTATCAGCAATTATTATTGATTACGCGCCACAAAAAAAAATAGCTGGGCTGAAGGCTAGACCGGTGTGTTGACTAGCCTAGGAGCCTGTATGCCGCGCATAAAGAAATAATGTCACTTCCGACGGAAGTTTAATTGTATCGGCAGTATTTTGCCACTTATCCAAATTGTTGGCATACTGCTGCTTGATAACTGCTATTGTGTTTTCAAGGATGTGTAAATTTTCTAATATATTTGACAGTTTTTCTTGGTTTTTTTGCAACTGGGTATACTTTTAAAAGAAATTAATTAAAAAATAATTACATCTTTATACACCAGGAAAATTAGCGAAAATAAAAGAGAAACTCGAAAAAAGCCCTATCCGCGAGATTATTGTAAAATTGTCTAAAGGAACATAATACAAGACATCTCTCGTATCGTGAGTCAAAAACTTTTATTAGCTAACTTTTCTATTTAAACAAATAAGTGAGGAAAACAGTTTTTTCACTTTGCAGGGAAAACCATCAATTTTAGCGAAAAGTGACTCTCAGACAGCTTGTAGGGAGTAAA